AAGCATTATGATAAAAAGAAAATAGATCAGAAGAGGTTTTGTGGAGATTTCAGTATTTTCATAGTTGAAATCATGAGTTAACTGAAGCTAGACCACCATGGAAAACCTGGAAGCACTGGACGGGCGTTTCGTCCTATTATGGGACTCCTCAGAAGTGCGCATCCACGATCCCGCCTCACGAGATTCGAACCGAGGACAAATCGGTCTCGAGTGCGAGCGCATAACCACTTAGTCGGCCGGCATCCAATGGTGTTAATGTCTAACTTCAACCAATCCACGAAGTAGGTATCATTTACCATAATATCAAATGTACTTAAATCATAAAGTACAAATCAGTAACTTAACTAATTAAGCCTTAACAGAATAATAAAAGTATGCAATTACTATCATTATTTGATGGTTTATTTTCCAAATAAGATATTTTCTTTCTTTTGTTCATTCAAGCCACAAAAAGTGACACTTTTTCAAACCCAAAGACACACAATTTGAGGTTATTACAAAAAGAAATCATCGATTCTAATAATACAATTCTATATACAATGAAAAGACTATTATTATCATCATCAATTGTTTTTATTATCATTTAAAAAAAGACAAACAATATTCAATAAAGAAGCATCTTAAAAAGACAAAACGAGATTGTTATGAACTTATAAGGTCTGCGGTTCTTATTTCTGTATGTATCTGATGATGATAATTGTATAATAATTAAATTAATTTCATTCATTGTTTCAATTCATAACTCGATTGCAAAAAATATAACATAATAGGCACTCTTCAATTGAGATCATGAAGCGATCAATGTTGGATCACCGATGGAAATCTTGTAGTACTGGACGGCCGTTATGCCCTATTTTTGGGACTCCTCAAAAGTGCATATTCACGACTACTCAAAAAGGATTCGGACCCAATGTGTTCGGTTTCGTGTGCAAACATTAGATGACAATTCAGTGGTCTAGTCGCTAAGTGTTCATGCGTGAAACCGAAGGTCCTGGGTTCGAATCCCATAAGCGAGATCAAGGATGCGCATTGTTGAGGGGTGACAAACTAGGACGAAAAGCCATCCAGTGCCTCCAGATTTTTCATGGTGGTCTAGCTTCACTTGACTCATGAATCCAACTATAAAATTGTTAAAATCTCCACAAAATCCCTTCTAATAACCGTCATTTTTACCAAGACTGATATGTGTAGATAACTTGAAGCTATATCAATAAATGTCTTTACTAACCTTACTCCGATTTCAAGACAGAAAATTTTTTAACTAAACCTGATGAATTGATTATTCGCGAAAAATACTAGAAATGTACAATATGTTATATTAATCATTTTAAACTATAAACTCTTCTCTTTTATTATCCATTTTCTGGTTGGTTAAAAAGAACTTCAAGTATCTCTCAGATTCATTATATTATTTGTCCTAAAAAGTTTAGCTTCATTTTGAGAGCTATCCAACTTTTGTAGTATAGTTTAGTTTTAAACTATATAAACTATAATTAATCAAAATTTATTTGATTTTTTTGTAAAAACAAACAACAATTGTGAGATAGTAACTCACTGAAGACAATGGTGGACTGTTGCTTAAGTCCGTAGATTGGTGGAGGTTAGACATCAACACCGTTGGATGCCAGCTCAGTGTTCTACAAGTTGAGCATTTACGTACTAGACTGATAGGTCCTGGATTCGAATCTCGTGAAGCGGGATCGTGGATGCGCACTTCTGAGAAGTCCCACAATAGGACAAAACGGCCATTCAGTGTTTCAAGGTTTTTCATGATGGTCCATTTAATTGAGTCATGAATTCAACTATAAAAATGATGATATTTATTATGTTTTTTTCTTACACCTGTACATTTCATCAATTTCTACAACATTCTCTCAATGACTCATAGATGAAGGTGTTTTTATTATGCTTTGAAAGCATACATCTTTGCAGTATTCTAATCACTCCACTGCTGCTCATTCGTTTACTCTATTCAGCACAATTGAACAGGTCATATAAGTGTTTATAATTCACTGAGTAACTAGCAACGTTTCACTTTCTTCGAAAAAGACATAGTATCTTAATCAGTGCTTCTGTATAAATAAACATTAAAATAATCTGAAAATGAACATTCAATGATTGATTGCTGTTACCTGATTTCGATTATAATGTTCAGACTTTTTTACATGACTTAAACCAACAATTAATAATCTCGTAAACTAATACAATATGATTCTTGTTCAACGTGATCTCATTATCATTTACACGCCGTATCAAATTAAGCATTGTAATCCCATCCGACTGGTCACAATCACTGATTGTCCCAATATATAAAAAGGGGTCAAAATCATCCTGCGATAACCATAGAGGGATTAGTCTGACCAACATAGCATCTAAAATACTAGCCTCAACAATTATCGGGCGCCTAACTAAGACTCGTGAACTGCAAACACGAGAAAATCAGGCTGGCTTCAGACATGGTCGTGGCTGTATCGACCACATGTTCACCATTCGTCAAATTTTAGAGCACAGACACGCTTATCGGCGTCCGACAATGATAGTTTTTCTTGACTTGAAAGCAGCATTTGACTCTGTAGACCGAGAGGTTCTGTGGCAGTGTCTGTCATTGAAAGGTGTACCTTAGAAGTACATAAACCTTGTGAAGGCACTTTACTCGAACACCACCAGTCGAGTGAGAGCTTATGGAGAACTGTCATATGATTTTACAACCTCAAGTGGTGTCCGTCAAGTCTGTCCACTATCCCCATTTTTGTTTAACTTCATTATAGACCTGTTGCTGGAAATAACACTCTCGTCGACTGAATTTACAGGAATTGATCTCCTACCAGGGGGACCACTAAGCGACTTAGAATACGCAGATGACATAGTCCTGTTTGGTGAAGACGCTGGCAAAATGCAGAGTCTTCTGTTGGAACTCAGTAATAATGCCAGGATGTTTGGGATGTGATTCTCCCCATCCAAATGTAAATTGTTACTCCAGGACTGGCCTGCATCAACACCTGAACTAAGGATAGGGAGTGAAGTAGTCGAACGCGTCGACAACTTCACTTATCTTGGAAGTCTGATCAGCCCTAATGGGTTGGTGTCTGACGAAACCTCAGCACGGATTCAAAAGCTCGTTCGGCTTTTGCCAACTTACGTCACCTATGGTGAAGACGAGATATCCGTCTATCAATTAAAGGACGAGTATACTGCGCAGCAGTTCGCTCTGTTCTACATTACGGTTGTGAAACATGGCCATTAAGAGTAGAAGATACTCGTAGGTTACTAGTATTTGACCACAGATGCCTTAGAAATATTGCTCGCATCTGCTGGGATAACCGGGTAAGCAATAGTGAGGTTAGACGCAGGGTATTACGGAACGATGGTAAATCAGTTGATGAGGTTGTGAACCTTCATCGACTGAGATGGTTGGGCCACGTGTTACGTATGCCTGAACACCGATTACCACGACGCGCTATGCTGACTAGTGTAGGGGATGGTTGGAAGAGAGTTAGGGGCGGCCAAACAAAACATGGCATCAGTGTTTGAAGTCACTAACTTCTAGTCTGAGCCATGTTGGTAGATGCAGACTACCTGGTTGGGGTCCGCGTGACTATCGTAACCAATGGTTGGAGACTCTAGGTGACATGGCTCAGAATCGATCACAATGGCGTAGGTGTATACACTCTTTATCTTCCCTTAAACATTAAGATTAAAATTGCTTCATATCTCTCCTCCTTCCTGTACTATATCCTTATATACAACCTATAATTTATATACTACTACCACCACTAAATTAATTACTTCTATGAACCCGGTGTTCATCTTGTTGTGCTAACGAGGTATGGCAACTTGGACCGATGCATAAATGTGCCTGGTCCTACGTTGTAGCTGACTGACTGACTGAGGTATGCATATTGTATTCATCATAAAGATTACAGTTATTAAGGCTAACATTTTCGTCAGTAGATTTATCAAAGCTGCATTGTACTGTCTGTTATATGTAGGTATTGTTCATTTTATTGGTCCATTATTATCGAAAACAACTATGCGCATAACTAGTTATAAAAGTCACGTTTCATATGTCTTAATACAAGCAGAGTGTAGTGTCAGATATTGACAGTCCTGTTGGTGGCCATTTTCTGCCTGAATAGTTTAGTGCTCGGTAATATAGGTTTGAATCATCGAAAGTATCGGTCAACTCAAGATTGCAGACATATATTTATAATATGTTCGACACGGTTCTTGAACCACGGTTTCCTACAGATTGCTTTCGACCGCCTAGTACGTGAAATCGAAATTTTTCATTTACTTGTTCTGATGGATCCTCAAATAACATACTCGGAACTGTGAGTATAATACAAATTCTGTATCAAAAGCATTAATCACACACTATACACACCTACCGTTAGAACTGATCATTATTCAACAAATATTAGCTAACTTAACAAAACTTTTCTCTACAGAATCTATTCTCTAAAATAAACAACTTTCCTAATATGTTGTATATATAACTAACTGACTACAGCTAAATAATCATTGAAAATCAAAAAGCACTGAATATACGTTACATTCAATTTGCTAAGATTCTTATCAATAACCTCATTTGTACATAGTCAACAATAATTTGTTATTTTCATAGTCGCAAGCGTGAGTCATTTGAAGCTAGACCACCAAAAAAACCTGGAAGCACTGGACGGGCGTTTCGTTCTATTGTGGGACTCCTTAGCAGTGCGCATCCACGACCTCGCCCTGCGAGATTCGAACCAAGGAGCTACCAGTCTCGTGTCTGAGCACTTAACCGATAGACCACTAAGCCGATGGTGTTTATGTCTAACTCCAGGAAGTCTCACAATAGGACGAAACAGTTGTCCAGTGCTTCCAGGTTTTTCTTGGTGGTCTAGCTTCAATTGACTAACGCTTGCAACTATAAAAATACTAAATCTCCACAAAAACCCCTTCTGATAATAATAATTTGTTACATTCCTTATTATTAAGAAGTATAAGAAGATTCTTTTAATTATAGTACATGTATATGTATTTGGGTATATTTCTTTGCAATACAACATCAAATAACTCAAAGTTGGACATAATAAATAAGCTAATTGATATTCAACACTAAGATTAATGTTTTAATCCATTTTGTTTTAATGTTTTCTTTTGTTTAATTGTAGTATAACGTTGTTTAATTGTTTTAACCTTTTGGTGTACGCCATAATAAAAAGATATATGGTCCATATTTAAAATGAAGTGCTTTAAATGGTTCATGTGAAAAATTCATACAATATGATCCATTTAATATAATTACTTGCCATACACGATCATATGTTTCATCTAAATATTGTTTTAATTTATTTGAGATTTCTTTAGTTTCCGGTTGTTTAAATTCTTTTAAATCACCTATCAGTTCACGAACATGTTCAGTAATATCATATTCAGCTTGGGGTGACATTTTAGATAAAATAATTTCAAAATCTTTTGAAACTTTTGGTGTTGAAGTAGCATTAACTTTGTTACGTTGAACTTTTTCTATACACCTTTAAGATAAAAAGAAATGGATATCAATAATATATGTAGTAGATTTTAAACAAACTATATATTGCAACTTTTAAACTATATAAAATTATAGATCAGAGGGGGTTTTGTGGAGAATTTCGTATTTTCACTGTTGAAATCATGAGTCAATTGAAGCTAGACCACCATCTGAAACCTGGAAGCACTGGACGGCCGTTTCGTCCTATTGCGAGACACAATCAAAGTGCGCATCCACGATCCCGCACTCGCGAGATTCGAACTCAGGACCTACCAGTCTCACGCCAGAGCCCTTAACCGATAGACCACTGAGCTGGCCGGCATCCAATTGTGTTAATGTCTAACTTCAACCAATCCACGTTTTTGAGCAACCGTTCACCAATTGTCTTCAGTGAGTTGATATCTCTACAACAGACTTGGTAGAACTCCACTGGCCAGTGCTTCCCACTAGAACTCAAGGAAATATTTCTTGAAGTCAGTCACTAGTGAGCATATGATTATAGATCAGAGGGGATTTTGTGAAGAATTTAGTATTTTATATAAAATTAATCAGAATTGGATATACAGAGACTCTTTCGTAAGTTGACGACATTCAAAAGATGTTTAGATAGTAGTTTCATGATACACTTTCTAAGCTTAATGAATATTTAACTGAAGTCCAGATATATTCACATTAATAGCTGTAATAAACAAGTTTTTTAATGAACAGCGATTAAGTAGGATAAAGCAACTTTTGTGCTCTATAAGTTAGTTATGATATACTGGCCGTCTATATTACTAAATTGATTCACACAATAATCATGGAATAAGATTACTGATTTCTTAAAAGTCTAATTAGAACAGTAAAAAGTCCGATAAGTATTCACAAGTACGTAATAATTAACAAATCAAATAAATTTATAACTATAATCTAAATACACTTGGTATTGTTTTTTCGAATGTTCCCATTGATGTTTAGGACTGCAACTTATTGGCATATATGCATCCTGTATGGATTGCCCAAATATTGTCACAAGCATTATATGCAAATATGGATGTTGGCTATCAGGACTTAGTAGATAAGTGAATAACGTGAAGGCGTTTGAAGCGAACGGTACTGGATTTGAGTTTCGGAGTGAACATCAACTCAGACGCAGGTATATTCAAATGATGAGTCCAAAATAGGACAAACGCGTGTGTTTGACTTCACTGCACTTTGAGGTATTTGGTGTCAGACATGACATCGCCACTTGATAACGAGAAATCTTAATTGTTGAATGATCGATTACTGATAATCTGATGTAAGCGATTTAACATATACGACAATTTCTACAATTAAAATTTATTTCATACTGAAAGTAACTAATGTAATAAAGTATTTAGAAGCATATATTCATATTACTTGAGAAAATTTTCACGCTATTAGAATACCATTATTATTCAGAAGGCTTAATTAGGAAATCAAAAATATATTACATACAAGCAATACTACTTCATTTACAGGATGTTGTAGTTTTGCATTAAGAAGTGACCCTAGGAGGACACCCATTGAAGACCAGGAACTAACGGATAGCTGTTTCATCATAATATGAGATTCTTCAATAGTACGCACTCTTGCCCCACCGCGGTTCAAATTCAGTACCTCTTACCTAACCATGGTTTGCTTAGAATTTATTTTTAGAAATAAATATCAAATAAAAATACAACCAAGATTTGATGAACAACTTACATTTCTGATTGATTTAGGCCTAATGCCCTGCAAAATTCTTCCATTGATATTTGATCATCTTTATCAACATCAAAACGATCAATCCATTGCTGTGGACCAAGAAATAAAATAAAATGATAGTAAATACAGACATAATAATAAACACTGTAACCTAGTTTACAGATATTACTACACACCAATGAAAAAGCTGTCTAACTTAGGTCGTCTGGTAACTTCAGCAATATTCAACAATCTCCACAAACCCCATATACTGATAATTATATGTTCACGAGCGACTAAATTCTAAGGAAAATTTAAGGAGTCCCAGTGAGAAGCCACGACTAGTGATGCCTAAACGTGTCGAATGTTGAAAAGTTGACCACCAATGATAAAAGAAGATGGTTACGCAATATCACGAATCCATTAAAGTCGGTCTTATAAACTACTGAACGCCATCGAAGTAGTTTGCCAAGGTGACAATCTCCACGAGACTTGAATTTCTCGTATGTGACCCTAAGAGGGTTCTTCGATGCCTACTGATAGAGAGTTGTATATTCGGAAGAGACAGCTGTCTAGTGTGTCATATTCTCAATGGTTGTCTAGTCTAGATTAGTTTGTAATTCTAATAATGAAAAACCTATTCGAATAAATGTTTCATAAGGCATTTTGTACTTTATTAAGTAAAAATAATTTATGTCTGATATTTTAAAGCAGAACGAATTAATGAAGGTTAGTTGATTTATTTGCATAGACTACTTCAAATGATAATTAAATTAGGTCAAAGATTAACATAAACTTGAGGACCGTTGAAAAAACTTAGTGCACTGGATGATTGTGATCGAATTTACCTTGTCTTCACAACGATAACTATTTAACACATCTCATCACCAATCACTTCTGCAATTATTTAATTATACGTTTACTGATGATTGTCTTCAAGTTGGAATTCTTAGTATTCTGTCAAGAAGTCATGAGTTACGGAGTTATCTATGATGGAAATCGAATAGAAGTAGCAGCTGATGATCATACCGTATCACAAGTGACGGAACTTGAAAAAAACACGGAAATGTGGATCATTATATTACGTTTACGTAATTTCGAAATATTAGACTTGTCATAAAACATAAAGATCTACTGAATCTATCCCTTCTCCTGTCGTAAGTGTACAGCAGTAGAGAATCACAAATAAATGCGAAAAAGCTGTCTACTGCCAGATTATAATTTACATTTGTTCTGTAACTAATTTTACTATGTGGTAATAGCTATTTTCATAATCTAGGACGCGCGTTTCGTCCTATTTGGGACTCGTCAGCCGGATTTTCTTGCATCTCAGAGTTGATGCTCGCTCCGGGGCTTTTTTATTTTTCTGCCCATAATCTGTAAGTGTTTATATTACTGTCTAGAGGAAAAGAATTAGCATCAGAAATTTGGTCTCTTTGACGGTTATCAGTATTATCATCTGTTCTGTTCATTATACTATATCTTAATGGTATTTGAAACCTGTAGAGAACTACAGTAAGGTTAAAAATTATCTATTGAATAGAAATTAATAACTTAGTGAAGCTAACTGTTATACAACCGAGTATATATATATATTTGAATTTTAAAACTTACCTGGACCAAGTTTTGATCGAGATTTTTCTTTTTACAATAATCAACTAATTCATGCCGTTCAGCAACTAGATCACCATCAGAACATACATCAAGATATGCTTTGATGAATTCTTCCAACATTCTGATTGACTATCGAAAAAATATCGAATCTGAAATTTATGATTTTTTATATTCGAAAATATCTTTACTTCAATGAATATATATATATATATATATATATATATATATATATATATCATACTAGATATTAATTACAATTTGCATATTGTGTAAGGTTTTTTAGCGTTGGCTAAAAGTGAATACCTAATAAGTCTATTTGAGGTCATTTTTAGAACAGATAATAAAGACAAACAAAGAATTTAATGTATAGGTGTATATGTATAAGTGCTTACAATGTTGAGTGCACTTATGTGCAAATGTAAATTCAATTGATTTAGATTTATAACTTATGATTTTGATAACAGAGTAACTTGAATAAACGTATTCGTAAGTGGACTCATTGTTTGTGCACCAATATAACTACGTATGTGTACTAATATATACATTTTTCTGTTAGTACAGTGTTTGATATAAGTCTATTAAAGGATTCTATATTTTATATGAACTTATACTTTGTAGTTATGCCTATTTGGGTGCCTATGTGTGTGTGGATATTTATAAAATGAGACCGGCCATTCAGTGAAGAATAATTGATAATCAAATTGTTAGTATTACAGATGGAGTAGCACATCAACCTAACTGCTTACAAAATTGTACTAATCAATAAGTGGCAAAAAACACTTAGCACACACAAGAAAATGACTGATAGATATCAAAAACGAAAAAGTACAATTATCAGTGTGGAGTTGTAGAGATTGTTAAGTTTTTGATCGAGATCATGAATCTATTCATGTTAGACTACCACTGAAAGCACTGAACGGCTGTATTGTCCTAGTTTTTTACTCCTCAGTAGTGCGCATCCTTGATCCCGCATGTGGGATTCGGACCCAGTGCGTTCGGTCTCCTGTGCGAACATTAACACTGTTGGATGCCGGCTCAGTGGTCTAGTGGAAACTGGCAACGGTCAGTTATTTACTATCTTGTTTTGAATCTGAAAATAATGCTTTGATTGTTGGTGGAACAAACAGAACAAACAGAAAATATATGACAAAACGAAGGGCCAGTTACTTCATTCATTATGTATATTTTTATTATCATTAGCTTTATTAAATATTATATTTTTGGTACAAAAATAGAATTCTCAGCACAATGTATTTCAACTAGATTCCGTTTCTTACTTCTTGACCGATCCTGACGACAAATATTGAGTGGTCGGCAGTTAGAAGTTAAAAGTCCAGTCAATCGACATCTGGATAATGTACATTCTTTTTTCTGCATATTGCCAGCAACCACAATATATCTGATTGGGCCTTTTGTAACTTGTATAACGAAAGGTTGTACACTTCAGAAACGCACCTGAATAGTTGATGCGATTAATAGCCATGATGATGTATGGAAAACAAAAGAAATCAGATAACTTGTTGAAATATCTAAATGGAAGGAACAAGTAGCCCAGATGTTCAAGCAGGCCACCACTTTACATCACATTCATCAACTTTACAGATCTGGAATAGTTAATGTTCATTAAATACATAAAGGATTAGACAAAATAAAGATATGCGAAACTTCATAGACTGATTAAAGTTGGAATAATAGACCATCTGATCCTAGATCAGTGGTCTGGACGTTAAGCGTTCGCAAGTGAAACCGAAAGTCCGGGGTCTGAATCCCAATTGTGAGGTCGTGAATGACCACTACTGAGGAGTTCTGTGCTAAAACTAAACATCCATCTAGTGCTTCCATATATTTAGTGATTGTCTAGCTTATATCAGTTCGTGATCTCAATAAAATAAATAAGTTTCCCATAGTTTGTTGAATTAAGTGTTCATACCCAATTTTATTTATACATGAATAAACAATAGACTGAAGATAAATGTATTAAAAATTTGTTCAATAGAACAAATACAATTCCAAGCTTTCGATTTATACTAAATCTTTTCACATGGGACAATCTATTGCGTGAGCATAAGAAAATCTTAGTTGATAGGTAATATCAAACTCTTTTCTTTAAAGTAAATGAGATATTCTAATCAATTAAAAGAATATCACGGCATTAACTAATTTTTATAATGATTTCTTCTCAATGTTTTAATGAGAATTTATAGCTTGTAGAGTTATACAGACATAGAATCAGATAGTAACGTATTAAGTGGACTTGATATATTATATCACTACTTGAATGAACTAACAAAAAGTTTAAAACTGAATATCGACTTAGTTTCCGATGTATATTATGCTCTCTATAAGACTTGACAATCTTAGGTTCAGTCTGTATAATGAAGTTGTAGATGTACACTAGTAAACTAGTGTAAAATAGATAATTAGTGATCCTAAGAAGTGCTTGTGTCACCTAATTTCTTCTATTACATGTTAGCACTTTCTTTAAAAGATGGCCTCAATAACAGTTTTTGTTATTCATATTTTTCTAATGATGTCTGCTTGTATCCAACTGACTGTTGTCATTTCAACTTTACAAATTTTATGTGTCAGAATGCCACTACTAAATCCATCGTGAAGTAGGTACAAGTATTTATAAACAGTTGTCTACGAAAAATACTCAACATCCATTAGCCGGATACTATCAGCAACAGCGTTTTATGGGAGAGGACAAACCAGCTTCCAGCTGAAGAGAAAATCAGGAAAAGACGTTGCAAGTGGATCAGACATACAGTAAGGAAATCACCAAACTGCATCACGAGGCAATCCCTAACTTGGAATCCTGAAGGGAAGCGAAAAAAGGAAGGCTAAAGAATACATTAAGCCGGGAAATGGAAGCAGATATGAAAAGGATGAATGTTAACTGGAGAGAACTGGAAAGAATTACCCAGGACAGAGTTGGATGGAGAATACTAGTGTGTGGCCTATGCTCCTTCACGATGGGTAACAGGCGTAAGTAAGTAAGTAATGCCATTAGGTGTCACTGTATAAACAGAGATGTTCCTTGTCAATGTTTGACTTTTGTTCAAAGTTATGTTCAAAGCTATGCTGAAGATCCCGTTTTCTCTACTTCATATTAGCTCGTGGATTCTTAATGTTGAGTGCTGAAGCATTCTCATTCGTTATATTCGTATTGGAAGAATTCTGATAATTGCATAGATAGATTGAAATTTATTCTAAATACCTGGAATGGGTTTAGTTTGAATTTATTAGATGAGAGAATATATCACAAAGAAGAAAGACAATGTTATCTCTCATCATGACGGTATCTTTTACCTTACTAAATAATTCCAGTCATCCTATTACATACTCAGTTTCCATGAATCAAAATTTCGTTTTAAAGTGATCAATACTGCTATAATTATTTCTATAGCCATTTCTGACATAATGAGAGATGGATTTAGTGTTCATTACAAGGAATATCTTAACAGATATATAAATTTCAGCTTCATTTATCATAGAATAAATTCATTTAAATAAGCGTTTAATGGTTATTTAGTGTAGTAAAACCTAGTTCATAAATGTGGATAGGATAAAATATGATCTTCAAAACAATTAGAAATATAACTAAATCGTTATCATTTGAATAAAGTATATTTGGTTAAGTCGACTGATAACTCTCCAATTCATATCATACACTTAGTTCTATTATAGATACAACATCTAGATGTATTTCTACATTCCAGTTTTGATGTTTATACTTTAAATGTTTAAAGTAATATGGACTAGGTTTAACTTTTAGTGTGAACAATAACGCTGAAATGTAAATATGCTTATGTGGTAAACTTGCAAATGTAAATGGAACATACATTAAAGATTTCATAAAATCCAAAATAGAATCAGTTATGTTTTTATAATTAATAAAGTTATTATTATTACAAATATTATAGTATACATATGCTCGCTAGTGACTGGTTTCAAGAGGTATTTCTTACAGTTGTAGTGAGAAGCAGTGACCAGTGGAGTTCAACCGAGTCTGTTGTAAGACAGGAACTCCCTTAAGACCATAGTGGATGTGTCGCTCAATTTCGTGGATTGCTTGAAGTTAGACAATAACACCGTTGGATGCCGGCCGACTCAGTGGTCTAGAGGTTAAGCGCTCGCATGTGAAACTAATAGGTCTTCTGTTCGAATCTCGTGGGGCGGGATGGTGGATGCACACTGCTGAGGAGTCCCACAATAGAATGAAATGGCCATCCAGTGCTTCCAGGTTTTCCATAGTGGTCTAGCTTCAATTGATTCATGATCTCAACTATTAAAATTACTATAATACCCACAAAACCGCTTCTGATATTATATTATTCATTATTTATAAAATTATTTCTTTAATCTTTTGTTTGAATGAATTAAGATAAATTACTCAGCTTTGTTAAATGAACTTTGCTCCTTACTCTATATACATGAAGATATAATAAATCACATTATTAAATTAGTTTAAATACTTATTTTAATTGAATTTATTATTCAAAAACTTTTATTAACTAAACAAGAATTAAATGTATACTAAATTGAAATGTTGAATAAATCATCATCTTCATTATTATTCTTATGATCATTAAATTTAATCAGAATAATTGAAACATTGGAGGAGTACATTAAACTCTTTATTATTTGTAGTAATATACATAGAGATAGATAGATATAGATATAGGTATAGATATAGGGAGATAGAAATATAGATAGGTAGTTAGATAGATAGATAGATAGGTAGATAGATAGATAGATAGATAGATAGATAGATAGATAGATAGATAGATAGATAGATAGATAGATAGATAGATAGATAGATAGATAGATAGATAGATATAGATATAGATATAGATATAGATATAGGAAGACCAAAGAACACATTACGCCGAGAAATAGAGACAGACATGAAAAGAATGAACAAGAACTGGATAGAACTAGAAAAGGAAGCCCAGGACAGAGTGGGTTGGAGAAAGCTGGTCGGCGGCCTATGCTCCATTGAGAGTAACAGGCGTAAGTAAGTAAGTAAGTAATAGATATAGGTAGATAGATAGATAGATAGATATAGGGAGATAGAAATACAGATAGGTAAATAGATAGATAGATAGATAGATAGATAGATAGATAGATAGATAGATAGATAGATAGATAGATAGATAGATAGATAGATAGATAGATAGATAGATAGATAGATAGATAGATAGATAT